ACACTTTGGTGTTAGAGAAGAAATGGGAGTGGAGAATTCCTACACTAATTCTGACTATTTTGGATAGGGGACGAATGACCATGTACCTGGAATAGTCGCCTCTATCTCCTTACTGTGGTATCCCTGCTTTCTCCAGTCGAGTCGATCCTTGATCACTTGCACCCTTATCTCCTCTTGATCACTTGCACCCTTATCTCCTCTTTGGAAGTAACTTCCTCTTTTCAATTCAACATTATTTTCTCTTGACGCCAATCTATTCTTGGTTCACCCAGAGTCTTGTAGTCAGTTCTTTCTTTGGTTAATCAACCATTCTTCGGTTAAAACCAAATTCTCCTCTTCCTCGGAGAGGTCTACCTTTCTTCTCCAGTTTACATAGTCTTCCTGTTCCAACTAATCCCCATCGGAGTTCACAACCTTCTCTTGGTTCTCTCTCCTTCTTATTTGGTTAACCACTGCCTGTCAGTTAAACACCAGTCATCTTTTCCTCAGTTAATTATAGTCTATCTGTTAATACTAAACTCTCTTTGGGTTAATTACCTTCTTCCGGCTAATCACCCGATCTTTGGTTGATCGCGGTCTATCCGTTAAAACCAGCTTTCTTTGGGTTAATCGCCTTCTTCTGGATAACCCCTCGATCTTTGGTTGATCATGGTCTGCCCATTAAAACCAGCTTTTTCTTTGGGATTATCACCTTCTCTTGGTTAATCACCCGCCTTTTGGTCAATCACAGTCTGCCTATTTAAACCAATCACCTATTTTCTCAGTTAACCACAATCCATCTGTTAAGATACTGAGTTTCTTTGGAGTTAATCACCTTCTTTTGGTTAATCGCTCATTCTTTTCGGTTAATCATAGCTCATCTGTTAAGCACCAAACCCTCCGCAGTTAGCAACCTTTCTTTGATTCAAATACTTCCAGCTTTGGGTTGGTAATCTTTATTCGATTCGAATACCTTTTCCTTTAGTCAAGTGTTGTTTGTTCAGTCAATGTACCATTCTTTGGGTCATAACCTTTGCTTGGTTCCACACCCGTCTGTTGGTTGATCACCGTTTATCGGTTAAAACCAGCTTCTTTCTCCTTCTGGTTAACCACTTTTTATCAGTTAATATACTGATTTCCCCTCAGAATCAAACACCTCCCTTTGGTTCCGTACTCTCTTTCTTTTGGTTCGTCGCAGTCCGTCTGTTGACACCAACCTTTTTGCTTTCCCAATAAAGTTTTACTCTTACCTTTCTTCGGTTAATCACTGCTTACCAGTTAATGCACTGAAACCCCCGTGGATTTTACCTTTATTTTGATTCGTGTCCTTTACTCCTTTATTCTCTTGGCTCCGACGCTATTCTTTTGTTTTTTCCCCAGTGGAGTTATCTCTTTTCTTCTGCATTCCCCGACAGAGTTCTTGCCTCACTTCTCCGTTCCTCAACAGAGTTTTCTTGGTTTTAACACCATTCCTCTTGCATTTCCCAGTTGGATCTTGCTTTCTCTTTTAGCCCTTGGCTTTTATACAGTCCCTTTTTCTTTTCTTCCTTTAGCCTTGGTTCCCAGAACTACGTAGGCTCTGATTTCCTCATTGCACTATGATGGTACGTAGGCACAACATTGTGAAATCTTGGCGAACCACCTTCCTCCATCTTCTTCCATTCTTCTGTCTCTATGGTTCGCCCAGATTCCCTTTTCTTTTCCTTGGTTCCTTGAACTACGAAGCTCTGACTTCCTCATTGCACTATGAGGGTACATAAGCACGAGGGCCCCAATTCTCCGCGAGCACTTTTTTTCTTTCTCTTTCTTTTTCTTTTTCTTCTTTTCTTTTTAGATAGAAACCTTTAGATATATAACCCATCCAAGCCTAGAAACAAGCAAAATGGTTCTCGTCGGGTACGACAGATGCGTAAGGTGCTAGTACCTTCCTTTCGCATAACCGACCCCCTTTCCCGTTTCTCTTCCCTTGGGTTTTATCGATATTTTCCCTGTCCTTTGGGACTAAATAAAGTTCGGTGGCGACTCTGTTGTATCTTTGAGTGTGCGATTCACTTAGATATAATCTCGCTAGCTTCAAAGGGATAAACCAATATTAACTATGTGTGAATGGATAATAAACTATCTCATAAATAGGAATGCTAGCTTAAAAAAAGGGTTGATAAATGGAATCATAGGATAATGCCTAGACCTAGACTTAGGCTGGATAAGGAAGTGAAACATACAGGGAATTGGATCCCTAATTGGTCTGGTGATACATTATGGCAAGTGGAATATACACATACTAGGAATATTTTTATTGTGGATACTTCAAATAAAACATGCACATATAATTTTTGGGAACTAGTAGGCATTCCTTGTAGACATGCAGTAGCTGCATTAGGTTTTAAGAACCAATGCCCAGAATTATGTTGATGACTATTATTCCAAGGAAACCTATGAGAAATGTTATAGTTATAGTGTAAGTTCTATTAATAACCAACATATGTGGCCAGAGGTTGACATGGAAGAGATGTTGTCTCCAGCATATAAGAGAGGACCTGGCAGACCAAAGAAGTTGATGATGAGCGAACCTGACGAGGACCCTAATAAAGTAAGAACACAAACCAGTTATTATTGCACTAGATGTGATATACATGACCACAATGCAAGACGTTGTACCAGTCAAATGGTTGACCCTGAAGCACAAAAACAAAAGGTATTGAATTTGCTATAACTTTGCATATCTTACTATTATCATTGATAATGTCAATTACTTGACTAAATTTTTTTTGTCCAAAGATAGCCAAATAAAACTGCACCAAGACAAGGAAAAGGACGCAATTAAACTCAAATTGCATTAGTTCAAGAACAAAGTCAGACTCAAACTAATGAAACTCAAGCTGCATTAGGGCAAGAACAATCACAAAAAAATGAGACTCAAATTGAAGTTGACCCTGAGTTTGAAATGCTTGCTGCAAATCTTGCAACAGCATTTGAGGCAACTCAAACACAACCTAATATTGTTGTTACTGAACCAAGTAATACTGCACCTGCACAAAGTGAACCAAGTTATACTGCACTTGTTGCATCATCAGCACAAAGTGAACCAAGTAATAATGCACCTTTTACATCATCTAAACCTGTTGCAACTTCACAAACTGAATATATACCTGACTATATTTTGAGTGCACATGTTCCATCATCTGACGTTGTGCCTGCTGCATCTGTGTCTACTACTCCAAAAGTTCTTAAAACAGTTGAGTATATCCTACCACTTCCTAATTATTTGCTATTATTCTATTGATGTATTGTACCCCTAATACTCTATATTTTATAAAAGAAGAAGAAGACAACCAAACCACAAGTTGCAAGAAAATTGGAGCTGAGAAGAAGTGACAGAACAAGAGTCCTTAGATGCAAAAACCTGAAGGGATAAAGAAGTGATTTATTACATCATATGGATGTGGGCAAGGGTCCATAAGCATGCTGTCATGGTGCATTTGATGCCTTTTGGATATGTTTGTTGTGTCTTTAGTGTATTGTTAGACATAAGTTTATGCCCTTTGACTTTATTTAATTTTGAGACATATCACGCCACTATGATTTGATGTGTATTTGCTGTACTATGTGACAAATTTATATGCCTTTTGACTATACGTAATTTTGAGACATCTTTTGGTTTATGTATGGTGTGTCTTTTCTATATTTTAAGATCATTTTTTTATGTCTTTATGTTCTACAACATTAACAACCAATGATGTAATACAAACATTTCATTAAGCAAGAGGGATGCAAAACAATAAGTAACAAACATTTAGGGACAAAAATAAAAAAAATTAGATTACTTCTGATACATTTTATATTGTAGCATTACAATGACACATTTTTGGTAGGCAAACAAGAGACACCATGAAAGAGTCAACAAAAGCTTCAACATTTTGACCTTCTTCCTTTCGTTTTCCAATTTCATTTTCTTTTTTTTCTTTTTTCCTAGCTTCAAGATCTTTAATGATGCACCCTAATTCCTGAACTGCGTCTGAGCAATTACATCCAATTGAATTTTTGTGTTCACTTGATGTGTTGCGTTCAAGTTCATCATCCCAGATGAATAACTTGCAACATAATCCTAAATTTGAACACTTCTAGAATCTTCTTTTAGGGTTTTCAGTTGAGTTTAAAATAAACATTTTCATAGCTTTATTACAACCACATAAAGGAATTTCAGACTCAGCGAAATTACCAACAGAAGATGTTGTCATGACTGACTCTAGATTAGGTTTTGAAGTTCTTGAGAGAGGAAGGAAAAAGGAAGAGGAGACGAAGAAGAAGAAGTGAAAAATACAAAATGGTGATTTTTTTTTAATTTAGTCTTCCTTTTCACGGCCCCTCCACATGGATTTTCACGTCTGCATTAGATAAAAAAGAAAAACAATTTCACATATGTACCGTTTGCACAGTCAATTTTTTTAACAGAAAATTAACGTCAGAGATTAAAAAAAACACAAAAATGAGTTATGAGGACTTAAATAAAAAAAATATAAGGATTAAATTCAAAAATTTATTTACTTACATGGACCACATGACTATTTAAATCTATAAGAAATTATATTATATTATTATAATATAATTATGATTAAATGATAAGTTATATAAGATTTTAAACAATTAGGATGTTTTTGATGTGTGAAACCGTTGAATTGAATTGTCTTAACCAATTTCTAAATCAAACAACAAAAAAGTCATCATCCTTTTCATAATTATTTTTAGCAAACAAAAAAGTCACCTAAAATTTGTTTTGTCCATCCATATACATAATTAGTGTACAAAATAATATGCTTTTGATTTAACAGCACCTAATTGTCCTTTACTCAGACCGAGTTGAAAAAAGAAAAAAGTACAGCCGCCGGTGGAAGCAGCACACAGCCTCTTTCCCACGATCACAAGGTACTCATTTTTCCATTTCTCTCTAATTCTCTCCCAATCCTTCAACTTTCCAAATCTTACATTACATTTTCTAGGTTTCTTTATCGATTGAAATTAACATGGCAACGCAAGTTGGTTGCGTTAAAAGCGTGTTCCATGTAGCGACTACGAGGACAGACTTGCATTACGAATCACCGTTATCGCCGCGTCGGATTGGGTACGCAGCGCGTGTTGCTCACGTTCCCCTTGTGAGGAAAGTGTCGAGTAATGCAATTAGAGTCCGTTGTTGCAACAACAATGGGAGGGAAAGTGGTGTGGTGGTGGAGAAGGTGGAGGGAATTGAAAACAGTTATACCCGTGTTATGAAATTTGGTGGGTCTTCTGTTGCCAGTGCTGTGAGGATGAGAGAGGTTGCTAACCTTATACTGGGTTTTCCTGAAGAAAGGCCTATCATTGTTTTATCTGCTATGGGAAAGACTACTAACAGGCTTTTACTGGTATTGCTTTTCTATTTCTTGCTTGTTTTTTTTTTTCAAGGCTTAATTAATTTTTTAGTCCATATTTGAACCCGCGTCCCGTCACTTATTAATAGACCAATCAAAGTTGTAATGATCACTAGACCCTGATACTTGTTAGACTTTAGTATATTACTCATGCTTCACTTGGAATCTTGGCAAGATTTTCTTTTATGATAATTGTGTGATCATTGCAAATGTGATCGCTCTATTATAGACCTTCTATTGACTTGTGCTAGCAGGCTACTAAGTCCTGACTGACATGTGATAGTCAGTTAGTTACAGTAGTTGCAACATTTATATCTGTCTTTGACAGTTTGTCGAAGGGACTTGTTAATATGAGGTAAGGTTTATAGCTAATAGAGAGTAGTAGTTATGCAACTGTTACAGCTATATGCCAGCTGTACAGTTTGTTACAGTTAGTTCAGTTTGTTACCGTTAGTTAGATCTAAGGCTTTATATACCATGCCTTTGTACTCTTTCAATGACAATCAATATATGAGATTGTCATCTTACTTCTTTTCTCTCTCTTATGGTATTATATCATGGTATCTAGAGCTTCTTCTTTCCTGATCCAGTAATCTTCATTCATGGCGTCACCGTTTCGCAGCGACGGCGCTTTTCCTTCCGCTCACGTCAAGCTCTCTGTTAAGCTTGATGATAAAAATTTCAAACAGTGGAAGCAGCAAATCGATGGAGTTGTGCGTGGCCACAAGCTTCAACGCTTTGTCACGGTTCCGGTGATTCCGCAGCGTTCGCCGGTGACTTCTGATCCGAATCTTAGCGAAGTCATCGATGAGTATCTTGATTGGGAGCAACAGGATGCTCTTGTCTGCACGTGGCTTCTCTCCACGATTTCTGACTCGCTTCTTCCCAAACTTGTGGATTGTACTCACGAGTGGCAGGTTTGGACGGAAGTTCACCGCTACTTCGCCGTGCAGCTCACGACGAAGGCTCGTCAGCTACGATCTGAACTTCGCCGTCTTTCCAAAGGTAATCTCAATATTGAAGCGTTCATGGCGCGAGTTCGCGAAATCAATGAATCGTTGATTTCAGTTGGAGATCCTGTTCCGATGCGTAACCTAATTGAGATTGTGCTGGATGCGCTTCCTGAGGAGTATGATTCGATTGTTGCTGCTGTCAATAGTAAGGAAGATCTCAGTACGTTGGAGGATCTTGAATCCAGTCTTCTTGCTCATGAATCTCGATTGGAGAAACACAGGAAAGCGATTCTCACTGAACCTGCTTCTGTCAATCTAACGCAGGTTCCGCCGTCTGAATCTTCTTCTCCGGCTGACTCTGTTTCGCAAGCCTCTGACTCCTTTCCAACTGGTACTAGTCATGTTAATGCTCACGCAAAAAGCAGTGGTTACAACAGAGGAGGTCGTTCAGGGGGTGGTGGCGGTCGTTTTGGTCGTCACGGCGGTCGTTTTGGCAAAACTCAGTGTCAAATCTGTCGCAAAAGTGGACACGATGCCTCTGTTTGCTACTACAGGTACACTCAGTCCTCTTCAAAGCCGTTTCCACCGCAACAAGCTCCCTTCAATCCATTTCTGGCGAATGCTCGTCCTGTGTATGCTCCTGTCTTTGGTTATTCCTCACCTAGATCAGCTGCACCACGACCTTCTCCTCCTCAAGCATTTGTGGCTAGTTCTGATCCCAACTTCAGCAACCAATAGTGGTATCCTGACTCAGGTGCCTCACACCATGTTACACCTGATTCTTCCAACGTGCCTGATGCTCAATCTGTGACTGGTTCTGAACAAGTCTTCATGGGAAACGGCCAAGGTTTGTCCATTAACTCTATAGGTTCCATGAAGTTTCCCTCCTCTCATCTGTCTCACACACCACTCATGCTTCACAATTTACTTCTTGTTCCTCACATCACCAAAAACCTCATCAGTGTAAGTAAATTTGCACAAGATAATAAAGTTTTCTTTGAATTTCATCCTTCTTTTTGTCTTGTCAAATCTCAGGGTTCTTCTGAGGTGCTTCTTCATGGTATTGTTGGAGATGATGGTCTTTACAAGTTTCAGATTCCTTCTTCTCAAGTGTCAAAGCCTCTGTCTAGTCTCCATTCTAGCTCAAATTTAGATTTCAATAATTGTAATCCTAGGGCTTCATGTAATACTGTCTCTCATTCCAATGATATTAGTCATACTATTACTGATTGTAATCCTTCATTTTCTGTGAATAAACATGATGTTTCTGCTGTTAATTTGCCTATTATTTACTCTACTGCTAAGTCTGTTCCTACTCTCAGTAAGTATGCTCTGTGGCATACCAGGTTGGGTCATCCCCATCATCAAGTTCTTGCTGAAGTGCTCAAAACCTGCTGCATTTCTCTCTCCTCTAAGTCTGCAGCAGAGTTTTGTTCTGCTTGTTCCTTAGGCAAATCTCACAGACTTCCTACTTCTCTCTCCACTACTGTTTATAATCATCCTTTTGAATTAGTGGTTTGTGATTTATGGGGTCCTGCACCTGTTAAATCTTCAGCCACTTATCTCATAAACAGACTTCCTAGTGCGTCTCTTGAGCATAAAACTCCCTATTTCAAACTGTTTCACAAGTTTCCTGATTATGCTCACTTAAGAGTTTTTGGTTGTGCCTGTTTTCCTTTTCTTCGTCCTTATAACTCTCACAAATTGGACTTTAGGTCCCAAGAGTGTGTTTTTCTTGGTTATTCTACCACTCACAAGGGCTACAAGTGTCTATCTGCCACCGGGAAAATTTATGTCTCTAGAGATGTCATTTTCAATGAGTCAAAATTTCCCTATCCTACTCTCTTTCCATCTCCTGCCATTGATCAATCTTCTTCACTCCCCTCTACTCCTTCTTTTTGGTCCTTCCCTCTTGTTCCTAATGATTCTAACTCTGTCACTAGGGCTGTTTCTGCTGTGCCTATCACTCATGTTCCTTCTGTTCCCACTCCACCCTCTCATACACCTTCTGCTGAACTTAGAAATTTCAGTCCCACTCCTGCCAACTCTGCTATTTCTCCTATCTCTGGTTCACCTTCAGTAACTGCGGAATCGGCTACTTCTTCTCCCATTCCTACTACACCTGTCAATTCTTTGTCTGTCACTCCTCTGCAGTCTGATATTACAGAGGCTCCCACTATTTCCCCTTCTTCTCCTGCCTCTGAGTCCTCCATCAATACTGTACCTCTTCTGCCTAATCCTTCCATTCATGCTCACAATATTCACTCCATGCAAACAAGGTCTAAAAATGGTATTACTAAACCTAAAATTAAACCTACCCTCTTAATTACTCATATGGAACCTAATTCTGTTGGACAAGCCTTGGCCTCTCCTCACTGGCTTCAGGCCATGAAAGATGAGTACACTGCACTGTTAAAGAATCAGACCTGGAACTTGGTGTCTCCACCTGATTCTAGGAAGCCAATTGGCTGCAAGTGGGTATTTAGGGTCAAGGAGAACCCTGATGGAACCATCAACAAATACAAGGCCAGATTAGTGGCCAAAGGGTTTCATCAGCAGGCTGGCAGTGATTTTACAGAGACATTTTCTCCTGTGGTCAAGCCTGTAACTGTCAGGACTGTACTCACTCTTGTTGTGACTCACGGGTGGTCTATACAGCAAATTGATGTGAACAATGCCTTTTTAAATGGCACACTTGTAGAGGAAGTTTACATGCAGCAGCCTCCTGGCTTTGAAGCTGGAGACAAGTCTTTGGTGTGCAAATTAAACAAAGCCATTTATGGCCTGAAGCAGGCTCCTAGAGCCTGGTTTGATAAACTCAAGGGCTCTCTCCTGAGTCATGGTTTTCATGCTAGCAAGTGTGATCCTAGCCTCTTTATTCTCCATACCGGCAGCCTAAGTATTATGGTGTTGGTGTATGTTGATGATATAATTATCACTGGTAATTCTTCTGCCTTCATCAGTGGTTTAATCACCCAGCTAAATTCTGATTTTTCACTTAAACAGCTTGGCAACTTGGATTATTTTCTTGGCATAGAAGTCACTCATCTGCCCAATGGCTCCTTGCTTCTATCCCAAGCCAAATACTTGACAGATTTACTAGCCAAAGTCAATATGATCAATGCCAATGGCATGCCCACACCTATGGTCTCTACCAGCAAACTCTCTAGGTTTGGTTCTGAACCTGTCTCTGATCCCACCCAGTTCAGGTCTGTGGTGGGTGCCCTTCAGTATGTTACCCTCACTAGGCCAGAGATCTCCTTTTCTGTCAATAAGGTGTGCCAATTTCTGTCAAATCCTTTGGAAGAGCATTGGAAAGCAGTTAAAAGAATACTAAGATACCTCAGTGGGACTCTGCACTATGGTTTACTGATTCAGCCTGCAGCACCTCACAAACCTCTGTCATTACTTGGTTTCTGTGATGCTGACTGGGCATCAGACCCTGATGACAGAAGGTCAACATCAGGAGCTTGCTTGTTTCTAGGTCCTAATCTCATCTCCTGGTGGTCCAAGAAACAGCAGCTAGTGGCAAGGTCTAGTGCTGAAGCTGAGTACAGGAGTATGGCACAGTTAGCATCTGAAATAATCTGGGTTCAGTCTTTACTGCAGGAACTTCACTGCCGACTTCTTACTCCTAAACTACCGTGTGATAACCTCAGCACTGTGACACTTGCACACAATCCTGTCTTGCACAACAGAACAAAACATATGGAACTGGATATATTTTTTGTACGGGAGAAAGTGATCTCTAAGAGTCTAATTGTGGAGCATGTTCCTGCCCAAGATCAGTGGGCAGATTTGTTGACCAAACCTCTCTCAGCCATCAAGTTTTTACCTCTGCGAGATAAACTGCGAGTGTTCAATAAACTTAGTTTATTAAACACACCCTTAGCTTCTAAGGGGGACTAATAGAGAGTAGTAGTTATGCAACTGTTACAGCTATATGCCAGCTGTACAGTTTGTTACAGTTAGTTCAGTTTGTTACAGTTAGTTAGATCTAAGGCTTTATATACCATGCCTTTGTACTCTTTCAATGACAATCAATATATGAGATTTTCATCTTACTTCTTTTCTCTCTCTTATGGTATTATATCAATAGCAAGCTCTCATGAGCTTGAGCTAGAATGACTAGACTACTCCTTTAATACTCCACAATCTTTCACCATCTCAGCTGCACTTATTTGATGTGTGTAAAAAATTCTTATCAAATTGAATCCTCAATTATAGGAAAAGCTTATGTTTCTAATTGTATTATACCCTGAAACTCAGGATTAACTGTTTTTGTTCCGGTTGATTTACTTTTAATCATTGTAATGTTGTGCACATTAGAATAATCTCTTTAATGTGGATTTTACTGATTTGTTTCCTGAAGTAAGGGTTATGTACAACATGGACAAATATTATACGACTAAAACCTAATCAATAAGGACCAAAAGCATGTATCCTATGATTTGGGGACTGAAAACTGACTAAAATTTGTAGGTGCTTAGCCGGAAAAGTTGTATGTTACATGAACCAAAAAGTTATTGAAGTCTATTTTTAGTTTTCTTTATATATTCATTTGCAACATGTAATCATGCATGGTGTGATTACTGCAGCCACTGCAACTGATATGCTGTGGCTCTGCAGTTCAAAACCCTGAGCACGAACCATGGTTTTGTCTTGTCAGGCCGGAGAAAAAGCTGTAAGCTGTGGAGTTACTAATGCCGAAAGTATTGATGAGCTCAGTGATATAAAAGACTTGCATCTCAGGTCTGGACAATGGATTGTCCTTTTAGTCTTTCCAAGTGCAGTGAAAATGCTTTCAACAAATAAATAAAGGAAATCACCTTTTTAATTGACTTATGTGCTCTCTCTTTGTCACTGTGTGTCATCTTATTCAGGACAGTGGAGGAACTTGGAGTGGACAGAGATGTTATTGCAAGTGAGCTATATTCTTCCGGATTACATCATTTTTTTGTTACACTGGATTGTGTTCTGTAACTGGAAAGTTATATTTATGCATTTGTGTGTTGCTCCATTGTGCTTATGAGTGTTGAACATTTGTTTGAATATATCAGTTTATTCACATATACTTTCATGTTAGTCACAATTTGTTTTACTTTTCTTTCTAGTTTCAATTCAAAAATTATGATATCAATATTCATGTTTTACTGAATGTATTCTTTAGAAGTTTGCTAAACTAAAAAGCTTACTTTAATATGGTTGCTTGATATTGAATGTGCCATGAAAGTTTTATTGTGGTAGGCTAGTAACAGGACCAGTCTCGAGATTGGCAATATTTTATATAACAAAGGGCAGTATTTACATTTTATATTCAATGGCTTACATGATGAAACTGGTCCTTTCATGAGTGAGAAGCTGTATATCATTATGGTATTTATTGTAATTGGCAAAAATGACATGCCACAATTTGCGCTCGTTATATCATACTAATTCTACCGAGGCTTTCTTTTTCTCAATATGCATGTTCAATCAATTTTACTTTGTATGTACTCATATTTTTACATGTCTTGGTGTTGGGTGTTGTCACATGAACAGAGCATCTAGAAGAATTGGAGCAACTTCTTAAGGGGATTGCTATGATGAAAGAGTTGACTCCAAGGACGCAAGATTACTTAGTTTCATTTGGAGAGTGCATGTCCACTAGAATCTTTGCTGCATATCTTAATAAAATAGGTGTCAAGGCTCGTCAGGCATGTTTCTCTTGTTAGCCTTTGGAGTACATATTGCAGCTAAATTATTTGGTTTTGTAATTGTGGATGAGGATATAGCCTAACTTTGGATCCCCATCATATAATTTGCTTCTAATGCAGTATGATGCATTTGAGATTGGTTTTATAACAACTGATGACTTCACTAATGCCGACATTTTGGAAGCAACATATCCAGCTGTTGCGAAGAGGTTACATAGTGACTGGGTTTCTGATCCTGCAATTCCAGTTATTACAGGCTTCCTTGGAAAGGTCTTTGTGATACCTTACTTTTTTAATGGTTCTTCCTCCCCTTGTCCTGCTCTCTACATTGCTGAAGTAAGAAACTCGCAAATACAAGTGTAATATTTTTTACTTCTTTCAGGCCCGGAAATCATGTGCAGTGACAACATTGGGTAGAGGGGGCAGTGATTTGACTGCTACAACAATTGGAAAAGCACTAGGACTGCCAGAGATTCAGGTTTGTACATAAACTCTTTGTTGGGCATGTCAAAATCTTGCCAGAATGTCCGTGTACTTATTTTACATATTCATATTATAAATAAATAGTAGGATGAAGTATGAACTACTGAAATCATTTATGCATAATTTCCTTCGCTTGTAGACTAATGTTGATAAAAAGAAATGGTTAATCTCAATCCCTTTAACAGGTATGGAAAGATGTTGATGGTGTTCTAACATGTGATCCAAATTTATGCCCACAAGCAGAACCTGTTCCATTTTTGACATTTGATGAGGCTGCTGAGCTTGCTTACTTCGGTGCTCAGGTATCATTATTCATTATATTCCCTTATCTCGTTCTCTTGCCAAAATACACTATACCATTTCTTTTATGAGTATAAAATGTTTATGCATTGTAGTTTGTACTCTTTGTTCTGCTTTAGTGATTCACATTCCTCATCGCCACAATCCAAAATATTAGAAATAATATTTAAATTTTGTATTTGCTTTACTATAGGTCCTACATTTTGGGAGAGTTTGATTTTTTTTCATTTTGAAAATAGATGATAGCAAACAATGCAAATGAATGGCTAGGGACTAGGGAGGGTATGTTGTCCTGCAAATAGTGGAACTAAAACATATGGCTATTCTGCTCCATCCTTAATTCCTTATACACTTGAGAACCATATAACAATAACAACAATTACCACAAAATCCCTTTGCCACTAAGTGGGATTGGCATTATGGATCAAAGTCAAAACAATACTAGTGTATTTGGAGAGCCACATAACACAGGAATAGTAACAATTGTTACAAATTTTTGAATATTTATTCTTATCAAATTCTGAGTTGTATTAGAAGAACTGAACCATGCAAAAAGTAGGAACCAAATGTTCACCAATGATGCCATTCAATTTAATTGAGCATTTATGCAGCTGATCACAGTGTGAAAATAAGTGGGCTACTGTCTGGAGCTAGACTTGCATATGATGCACATTTTGAAGAAAGTAGAAACAGCTATCTGGCCCTGCATTTATGCAATATGTTATTCTGAATTAATCTGATTATGTGTGCTTGAACTGGACTGGAAAAGAAAAGGAAAGAAAAAATATTAATTAGGTTGAATGAAAGAATGATACTGAATGTTCTTTGTAACATGGGAGAGTAATGGATGATAATAACGAAATGTACATGATGTATTATTGAGGCTCTCTGTGGTTTTTTCGTTGCCAGCAGAGGTTGTTACATTAATCACATAAAATACAAATTGTTGTCACAAGAAAATAACTGCAGAAAACCAACAAACCTCCAAGAAGTAGAGACCCTAGTCTCTCCCAACCAACCAAACTTAAGCAAACAACCGAAATGGCTATTGTTGATATTTGTAAATATATATATAAAGTGTTAAGAATATTTGTATATAGAATAGTCCCACATCGACTATATTATGTAATTAGGTGTAATCTATTTATATATAATAATGTCTCCGTAGTGCTTTTCAAGACACACGGTTTATTCATGTCTCTTAGTCTCTTGTATTTCAACATGGTATCTAGAGCCTATTAACAAGAGACAATTCTTTTTTCGCCGTATTTTACCCGGTTGACCTACTGTCTTCCGGTGAGAAAAATTTTAACCGCCTTGCCGCTACCGATTACTGATTTTCCGATCCGTTTCCCGCTGCTGCCCCAGCGCGTAACCGCCTTGCCGCCACGGATTACTGATTTTCCGATCTGTTTCCCGCTGCTGCCCCAGAGCCCCTTTTTCCCGCTGCTGCCCCAGCGCGACCGGCGGCTGATTCCGACCGTTTTTCTGCTGATCTACTCACCTCTCCTCACCCATTCCAGATCCGGCCTCTGTTTTACTTTCCGACTCACGGAAAACGGTGCTCCAGTGCAAGCAACCCCGATTGTTTGTGTCATTAAGCTATGGGAGACTCGTTTACTAAAGTTCCGAAATGGCTATATATGTCCATCATTATTCTATTTAAGACATAAAAGTAAACTATATCGGGCCTTGTAGGCCTACGCTTCATGTAGACATTCTTAATAATAATCCTAACAAATACTCAGGTCTCCACTACCAAATTGTCCAATCTGTTGTCCTTTTCAATTCCCTTTCCAACTGTTTATACTCCTTACACTTCTCCTAACCAACTATCTAACTAACTAGCTGTGGCCAACTCTGATGAGTTGAAACCTGGCTCTGACTAGCTTAAACCAACTCCAATGAAAGAAACCCAGTCCCTCCATCCTTCACTCTAGTAATTTTGAGCCTTATGGTTTGTTAATTTGTCCATCGACTTTGAATAAGTTATACTTTTTTTTGTGATATTAGTTGCAAACATATCTTGTGATTTGTTAATTTTGCTGTCAATGTTTAATTGTAATGCTGGTTTGGCCGGGCAAGGTTAGAATGCTGAATGTTGAACTTTATATTACTTAGTTAGAATGTGGAATGGTGAATTAGTCAGATTGCTGACTATTTCTATGCGCCGCGAGTTTTTGAAGTTTCTCAAGTTTAACTTACAACCTTGCACAATACCTAAATTTTAACTACAAAACTTTATAAATTAGCTATTGGAAATCATCTTGTACTAGAGAACACACAATGAGCTTAAATCTTTTAAGTGGGACCTTCAAATTCCAGATAAGTTTCATCATGAGAACATAAATGTTTTAAGTTGTGAGGAATTTTATAGAGGCGTGCGTAGGATTATAGATGCTAAGGAATAAGAAAATATCTAACAAGCCATTGAAAGAGTAAAAGTTAAGAAGGCATTGATCCGCATAAGATGTAAAAATCAGAAATGGCTCATTAAGTACAGTAGATAGGCAATGAATTTAGGAAAAATTGTATATGAATTTTTTATACTTCCCAACTTTACTTTCCCAAAACTAATTAAAAATCATCTCCCAAACTAGTATTCCAATTGGACAAAATATATTCACAAGTGAATTTCCAAGCGTCGTCACTCCAATTTCACTCCAGGCACCGACATTAAGTGCCTTAGCTGAGTTTGGTTTTGAACTGCATGGGATTAAATGGCCTAGACCTAAAATATTATGATTAAGATCATTATTTCCTTCTGGATGCTGTCAAATGCCAGCTAACGATACCCCTAATTTGTATTAAACGTTCAAGAAAAATCAAAATTTCTTGGGCAATTGACTATGCTCGCCATATTATCTCAGACTTGTACTAATAAAGGCTGTTCCTCACATTGTTTATGGGTTATTTACTCAGTTTCTAGTAAAGTCTGTAGCACTGTCAATAACAGCATGGGTTTGCAATTGATATGGTATGGACCTTGGGATATTAGATTAATTTTGTGCATGAATTGTATCTCTAATTTGCAGGTCTTGCATCCACAGTCTATGAGACCTGCCAGAGAAGGTGATATTCCTGTTAGGGTTAAAAATTCTTACAACCCTAAAGCTCCGGGTACCCTTATCACCAAAACAAGAGACATGAGCAAGGTTTGTTGAAAGGTGTCTTGGCACATAGAAAATATGATTATCTGAAGTATGATTTTAGTCAATGTTAACTTTTCCTATTTCCTCTTGCAGGCATTATTAACTAGCATTGTTTTGAAACGTAATGTTACCATGTTGGATATTGTAAGCACCCGCATGCTCGGCCAGTTTGGGTTCCTTGCTAAGGTGAGATAGTTAATGACGGTCAAACTTGTCCTACTAGTGGATGAATCCTGTTGTCTTCAAGTTTCTATATTTATGCAGGTGTTTTCAATCTTTGAAGATTTAGGCATATCAGTTGATGTTGTAGCTACAAGTGAGGTTAGTATTTCCTTGACGTTGGATCCGTCAAAGCTGTGGAGCAGAGAACTAATTCAACAGGTAAGCTTTACTCCCAGAGTCCCAATCCCATTCAATATTTTGTTGAGTTCCTTCCTTCGATTATTTTGTTGACGATTTATAATATTACTTGAAAAGTCTAGTTCTTTGTTTATTTTTCAAAATTTTGCAAAACAATGCTGTTATGGGTGAGTTTTTTTATAAAAGAAGCATGGCCTGGCTGGTAATTAAAAACCATGACCAAACCAGTTCATAATCAACTGGCCAAGTCACCAGTTATTTGCACATATGACTTTTTCGTTGAGCACTGAGATTGATCATATGATGAGTTATTGGGTTAGCCGGTCCAGCTGTCCTGTCCAAGCTGATAATTTAACAGTGCAATGGGGTCATTTGTTCGATGTAGCCTCTCTTATCTAATAGGATTGTGTTTGGTTATTATTATTAATTTTCCGGATGGTTCTATAAAATAACATCTATCAACTTGACACATTTTTTTCACTAAAAAGACCCTTGTGTAATTCTAATTGGCTGTTATTCTCTATCTCTTTCCAGGAACTTGACTATGTTGTTGAAGAACTGGAAAAAATTTCTGTGGTGAATCTCCTAAAGAATAGATCCATTATCTCCCTCATTGGAAACGTTCAGATGTCGTCACTAATACTGGAGAAGGTTTTGTATTGCAGTATCTCTATTTGAATATTTGTCTACAATTTATTAATAAAAAGTTGTTTTAATCCTTAGAGATGCTATAATATCACTTTCCGGGCCTTCTGTCCTATCCCTCCCTTTTGATTTCTGGCTTGAGGATGTGATTTTTGTTGGTGGTGCCTTTTCTTCCTAAGAAGCCATAGGGCATTGTCAAAATCAGCATATGATTAAATTCCATGCATTGTCAAATGGCACTTTTCAAGCATGGGTTGATAACTTGATTATAAATCTTCTGCATAAAATTGATGGTTTGCTCTTTTTTTGGCTGGCATTCTATTGCAGGCCTTTCAAGTTCTTCGCACCCTTGGCGTCACTGTTCAAATGATTTCTCAAGGTGCATCTAAGGTATTCACTCTTTCAGCTATTGAACTATGCGTTTCACCTTCAAACTGAGAATGTTCTGTTTATTGTTTTTAGACATGGTGGTACTCAGGATATGAAAATAAGTAATGGCATTTATCTGGAATCATTACTGTAAAACATTTTCATATCCATATTTTTGTTTTTTTGTTCTTGTTTGTTTCACGGCAGGTAAATATCTCATTAGTTGTAAACGACAACGAAGCAGACCAGTGTGTCAGGGCCCTCCATAAAACCTTCTTTGAGTGCGAGGTCTCTGAATTAGAGACTGAATGCATATCCAAAAATGGTTCTGTTCCTGCTTTATCTTAAGGAAGACACTTTCAGATCAAGTTCTACTAGAAATATTCCTCCACTATTTAATCAAGATGTAGCAGATAATTTTTATTAACATTATGGTTTAAAGAAAATTTTGATTGGGAATAATGATATATAAATACATTATGTAGCAGATAATCAAGATGTCCAGTTGTTTGTTTCTAGATCATACCTTGGTATCTTTTGGTAGCCTCCTGCAAGGGGATTTGACTGACTTGAGGCGATGGTAGGGTTTTTTTTAGCATATGCATTGAGAACACCCGGGAGACTTAAGGAAAAGTATATTACTTACTAATAATACATTAAAAAAATAAAAATACTTTTTTTCTCTAAATATTTCTATTTTAAAGTATTTTAAGTGCACTTTGTAATAGTTTCCTTTATTATATTTTTCGATTATGGATCTACACATAATCTGGAAGTCCCTTTATGTCGGGGATTTAACCTACCATCAATTAAACCCTGGCACTTTAGATAGTAGTTGTTATTATCCGTCATTACCATTTGGGATTTTTTTACCGTGATTATCGGAATTTTGATAAAAAATTAATGATTTTTGAAAAAAAATTAAAGAAATATCGGAATTTTTGAAAGAAAAAAAGTTGTTACACTATTGGAAATTTTAAACTATCACTTTTTTCTAAATTTTCGGTAAATTATAGCACTGATCGAAATTTTTGGTAGTTTTAAAAAATTTTGTTTATTGAATATAAACTATTGAAATTTTAAGAAATTTGAAAAATCAAGACAAAAATTTGGTTTATTATCAAAAATTTTGAATGAATTATAAGAAATTTCATTTGCACTTTTAATTCAAATTTGTTTGTCTATAGACTTTTAAAATTATGAAAATACGTGAGAGTGTCAAATTTAATTGAAGTGTCGAGTTAAATCTTTTCTTTATGTCCTATGAGATGCATTTGAATTAGATGTATTGGGAGATTTTAACTTGTCCTGCCCAACTTAACACTCCTATAATTTTGAAACTCCAAAATTGTCCTTTATAATTTACAAATCAAAATTTATTTTTTTTCAAAAAAATTTACTTTTACCAATTTCAAAAACAAAATTTCCAGTAGTACAGACGAAATTTTGTGTACACACTTTTTCGCATTTATGAAAATCTCACATCTATATGATTTTTAAAAAATTTCAGTAAAAAAATATTAAAAAATTCAAACTAAAATAAATTCGGTATTTTTCTGAAAAATCTTAAACACATACCTGAAATTGTCAAAATTTTTAGGAAAAAACAAACCCTTCCGTAAATTTTACATAATCTGGAATACCTGAAATTTTGACTTTTCTAGTATATCGAAAATTATAAAAGGAAAAATGGGTTGTGAGAGATGAGAAAATTATGAAAGGAAAAATGCATGAGAAAGCATTAAATTCTCATAGGGCATTTATAATATGAAAGTGAAATGTCCTTTTAGATTGAAATCTGCACCGAGTGGTAGCGGTTGGAAGGTGATAATTAGGTGTGGGTTGCATAATCATAAACTATATAAGGATTTAGAAGTTCTTGAAAGACAGTTTGTGAATGACATGACAAAGTACAACATGACTCCACGTACATAGTTTTTGCTTTGAAAGATAAAGATCCACAAAACTTCAGGAGGGTTACCTAGGTGTATAAAGTGTTAAAAAAATAAGTGTGAGTTGTGTGGAGAAACAAGTGTGATTTCTAAGTCCCACATTGCTTAAAAAAGTGGAGGTTGAACACTTTATAAGTAAGAGGACCCATACACCTATCACCTTAAAACTTTGGGTGAATATATGATGTCTCTCTCTCACTTGTTTGGGTGAGTCTTTGACCTTTATGTGAGTGTTTGATCCAATGTGTATGTTTCTCCCTCATGATGACCCATCAGTGGTATCAGAGCTTGATTCGAGTGAAGTGTTCAAGACGAGATAAGGGTGTCTCTTAACACAAATAAAGATTGTTAGAAAATAAGTGTGAGTTGTATGGAGAAACAAACTTGATTTCTAAGTCCCACATTGCTTAGAAAATTTGTGAGTTGTATGGAGAAACAAATGTGATTTCTAAGTCCCACATTGCTTAGAAAAGTGGAGGTTGAACACTTTATAAGTAAGATGACCCATATGTAACAGCCCAATTTTCAATAATTAATTATTTGTGTTAATTAATTAATTAATTTGGATTATTCTAATTATTTGAATAATTAGATGATTGTTTAAATGGATTGATAGATGTTTTGAGAGAGAGAATATATTGGAAAGAAATAAAGGGAAAGATATATATATATATATATATATATATATATATATATATATATATATATATATATATATATATATATATATATATATATATATATATATATATATATATATATATATATATATATATATATATATATATATATATATATATATATATATGAGGAAGTGGAGAAGAAAGAAGGGAGAGAAAAGAAAGGGAAAGAAAGAGGAAGAAGAGAAAAGGAGGAGAAAAAAAGGAAACTTGGAGAATCATCAAGAACATCCTCTAGCTTCCGATTAATCAAGGTAAGAGTGTGAAATCTTACTATCTTAATCAATGTGTATGATTATGTATGTGTGTGTTTGGATTTGTTGGGTGTTTTCTACATTCTTCCATTTTAGGTCGAAATGAGTTTAATCGGTAGAAACCGAGCTTGAACGGGTAGAATCTGAAATTGACGGTGTAATATAGTCGGGTGATGAGTGGGCCGTGCTACTGGAACTGATTTGGATTAAATCGGTCGGTTTTTGAGGTTTGGGCTTTTGGACAGCCATGGAAGTTCTGAGTTCGCAGGTTCTCCAGGCGAAGCCCAACGATCAGCAGCGAACCAAGTCAGAAGCATCCACCCTCTCTTCGCTGGTAAGTTCGTCAGGCGAATGAGAGTGGCGAGGGTTCGCCACCCGAGTGTGCTAGCGAGTAATTCTAGAATAACTCCCAGTGGTCTTCGCTGGCAAGTTCGCCAGGCGAACGGAGTAGCGAAGGTTCGCCAGAGGCTTCGCCAGGCGAAGGTCAGCGAATGTGTCAGCATTTGTTTTATTTTGGTTGGTTTCATCCAATGTTGATGTATTTGATATAATTAGGCAGCGTATAGCTTGTGCGCTGTTATATGATGTGTTGAGGGTAGCCGTATGGCGTGAATCCTAGATTATGAATCGATTATGAATATGTGGCCTTTTGGCATATGTGATGCATTGTTTAAATCGATTAAAATGCATGATGAATATGATTGAGTTTGTTGTCGTTTGGCACGATATTTGTAAGTGTATATTGCTTGTATGCGATGGTGGGTGATGAATGCATGAGACTATATGTGGCAAGTACATGTGCATTGTTTGGTAATGTAAGAAGGATGTTGGAAATATGTATATGTGTTGAGTCGTACTCACTGGGGTAGAATGGCAAGATGTCGTTCCTAGTGGAGTAATCATTGGGGTAGAATAACAGGATGTTATTCCTAGTGAGGTATAGTGTCGTGGTTGTATACACCGGGGTAGAATGACTAAGATGTCGTTCCTGGTGGAATAATTACCGGGGTAGAATAACTGTGATGTTGTTCCTGGTAGGGTATAAGTGATGTACCCATACTCCCAAAAAGGGATTGATGTTAATTGATGAGTTTTATATGAGCCATATGGCATAAATATCATTGTTGTATGAGGGATGCCGATGTGTATGAATTGTTGAATTGTGAGTTATAAATGTGAATCTAGAATGAAGCGATATGAGATGAATGATGAACATAGGTATATATGCATTGTGATATATAAATTGTGAATGCATATTGAATATACGTGCTGATACGTGATGTACGATGAGATTGATTGTGATTGTGAACCATGTTTGAATGGTGTGAATGAATGATGAATACCTGCATATATTGTGATATGTGCATATTGTGAGTGTATAATGAATATATGCGATGAATGTGAAAGATGCATGAGTATGTTTGTAAACACGTGTGCATTTCAAGAGTGTCATGAGCCATGTTACATGTGAAGCATCATGGTATGCATTCTTGTGTTGATTGATTCCTCGGTGAATCTGCAGAACCTCGTGTGCCCTTATGGGGTGTGAGCGATGGTTATTTATTGATTCCTCGGTGAATCTGCAGAACCTCGTGTGCCCTTGTGGGGTGTGAGTTATGGTTATTTATTGATTCCTCGGTGAATCTGCAGAACCTCGTATGCCCTTGTGGGGTGTGAGCGATGGTTATATTTGATTCCTCGGTGAATCTGCAGAACCTCGTGTGCCCTTGTGGGGTGTGAGTGATGGTTATATTCATTCCTCGGTGAATTTGCAGAACCTCGTGTGCCCTTGTGGGGGTGTGAGCGATGGTTATTTATTGATCCCTCGGTGGATTTGCAGAACCTCGTATGTTGCGATGGTTATATTTGATTCCGCGTAGAATCTGCAGAACCTCGTGTGCCCATGTGGGGTGTGAGCGATGGTTGTTTTTGGTTCTTCAATTGAACCTGCTGAAATGAGTCGATACCGCATTTGCATCTGCATGGAGTCGTGAGTCGGTCTCTATGAGTTGCATTTATCATCTTCGTATGGTGCATTGGTGAAATAAACATGAATGTGAATGTTTATGTGAATTGGTGATGAAAAGAACATATTTTGTATGTTTATATGGATTGATTGGAATTGCGGATGTACGCATCTTAAATATGCTTGATGATTATCCATACCTGTTTATATGTAGATAGCGATGTATATGAGTGAATCGTGAATGTATGCATGATGAGATGCATGGTTTTATATATATATATATATATATATATATATATATATATATATATATATATATATATATATATATATATATATATATATATATATATATATATATATATATATATATATATATATATATATATATATATATATATATATATATATATATATATATATATATATATATATATATATATATATATATATATATATATATATATATATATATATATATATATATATATATATA